CCCCCCCTTCCCACCCCCCTTGAAGTCTGAAGGTGTCGCACGCCTGTGTTCAGATAACCCGAGAGGAGGCTCACGTTGGAGCGCAGGTGCCTTTTCACCAGACTCCACCCCGCTGGATAGCTTCAATCTTGGCCTATCGGGAGTATGACTCAAAGGTGAACCTGCTCGCCGGCTAGTGTTCAGACAGACAGCACGGGGAAAGATTTAAAGCTCTGCAGCTTATGGATCGTGCAAAAAAAATTGTAAAACTAAGTGAATATCAAATTAAACTTCATGCAAAGTATATGATAAAAGAATCAGTTCATTCCAGTAACAATTAATCACATCTTTACAGTCTTATTCTAGACCCAACGCGGAAACCAAAACACTTTTCAGAGCTAGGGTCCATTTTTCCTGGAAATAAATTGAATGATATTAAAATCGGTATTTTTTTTCCAAGGATATACTCGTGGTTACGTAAGGAAATCGTCAAAGAAATCTTATGAATGTGAAGTAATATTGGCATTCGGTATCACTAAGCCCAAAAGCATCTCAACTGCGCCAGACAGTGTGATAGTGTGGAGACTGGGACAAGGGAACTGGTTCTCTCTTAGAGCTCAGTCTTGGTAACCCAAAAGCAGCGTCCAGAGTTGGGGCGAAATGGATTAATCCGCCCGAGCGACAGGGCGACGGCTCCTCTACCCTGGTCGAATTAGAATTTAGAGATGCTGGTTTTCTGGATGGAAAAAAGCCGGAAAACCCGGAGCAAAACCCTCGGAGCAAGGCAATAACCAACAACAAACTCAACTCACATACCGGGCTGGAATCAAACCCGGGCAACATTGGTGGGAGGCGACGCGCATCACTACTGCGGCGGCCATCCATGCCGCGCCATCCCTGCTATTAAAAATTTACCTTTATTCCTATTACTGTTAAAATAAACAAAAAAAAAACAATAACAATAATCGTGCAAGATTGACAACCTTTGTCCTAGCTGCTTAACATTCCAACACAAAGCATTTCGTGATCTGTTTCCTGGTTACATTCGTTTAATTCAGTGGACGTATTTGCAATGCACATTCTTTGAGATCGGATTGCAAACAGTAGGCACGATTACTTTCGCGACCGTACTAAGCGTACCGCTAAGACTTAGTTCGCGAAATGGCGTCGTCTGAAAAGCAAATGATCCCTTTAGAAGATATCTCTCTGACTAATGAAGACTTACCGGACATCCACCAATCCTCGACTAGAGATTTGGTTGATGTCAAGCTTCCCTCAAGACCTCGACGAAAAGTTGTGATCATAGCGGGTGTTATTGCTGTGCTTATAGTTCTCGCTGTCGCAGGATCCCTGATTGGAAAATACGTTCCAAAGTACCTGAGCGAGGCAAATAACAAATGTAAGTAATGATACATTTCTTATCACTGTACCTTGGTCGAAGCTTTCTATTTTAATTTTTACATGTAATTAAGCTGTCGCCATCAGTGTTCTTCAGTTGATACAGCCGGTTGTGTCTTTGGGTAAAAAGGCTAATAAATCTTAAACTTTTGAATCGACTTAGAATAAATTTATCAGACGTTTTTCCTCAGAAACGTTTGTACTGAAAACCTGAATTTGATACGCCAATTTTCTACCCTAGGGCCTGTTTCTCGAAAGCCCCGGAAAGTTTTCGGGCCCGAAAAGCCATTTTTTGTTAATTGGTATTTTAAGACAGAGAGGTGTATACGCCTGAAACTTCTTGTACGGAATGGAACCTCTGTTTATACTAAGAATATGCGAATAAAACAGCTCTGTAATCATAGGGATTGAGATTTTGCTACAGCTTTCCGGGTGCGAAAGCTTTTCGGGACCTTCGATACAAACGGGCCCCTGCTCTGCCATGACCATATCTATTTACGAGACAGACCACAGCGTAGTCCTGACTTAGAGCAACTCGATCAGGTTTCTTCCCAGCGCTGAATTCTGGCTCCTATAACACACACATTTACTTGTTTTGACTTCACTTTTTGCCCCGTTATCGTGTAGCTGAGAAAGGCTCGAAAGACAAAGGTACTGGAGAGCCAAAAGGAATCTTTCCCTCATCTTCTTCGAGCGGTAAGTGTTTCATAGAATCATACTTTGCGGAAGTATATGTACTCAGTTCGTTTGTTAACACTAGGAAAGAACGTGAGCAAAGGGGGAATTGAAACCGCATGCAACTTGATCTAGTGTAAATGTTTCCGCGTTTTGCTGATTAAATTCGATACCGTATTTTCTTGATCAAAACGCCGGGTTCGTCTCTCAAGTAAATTTGCAAAAAGGCCCTCAAGAAATTTATTATATTCCGGAGGTGTTATAAACGTTAAGTATATTTTTTTATGAGGTATATGGCTCTCAAATGTATCAGTAAAAACTCTCATAAACTCCACCCTCGAATAAACTGCAAAAGGCACTGAAATAAACGCTGGATAAAAGAAGGCAAGTTTGAACTAAAATGCAATGGCATTTAATGGAGAAAACAAGGTACTGAATATACAAACTGAGTGCACTGTGTCAAAGGGGTGAAATCACTGATGAGTTTAATTTTGTGGGTAAAAGGCCGGTTAACTCAATATCAAAAAAATTGTGTCTTGAAATCGCGGAAAAATATTAAATTACACCTTATATCCTCTTCGTCTTTGTGCACCAGACGCATTTCGTGTTAATATTACGTATATACAATTCCTGAGAATTAAAATGAAGCAAACTTCTGTTAATAATGTCAGCATTAATTACTGAGTTTGAGATACCGGTCCTTCTACTATTTTTCTTTACTTTGGAATTACTAACTACAGCAGAAAGTAGGTTTTGCTCGTAAGGCCGCAGTGTATTTATTTTCTTAGCTTAGTAAATACTAATAGTGGCCTAGCTACTGCATGTTGAAAGCCCGGTCGAGGGTAGAACTGTTGCAGTAGAAGTTTATAGTTTGGTTTGAACATATAAATATTTCTTGAGCAAACAGTTGAAAACAAGAGGGGAAAACACAAGCCGACATTGCTCGGTTGTTGTACCACATGTACAGAATTCCCAAATCTACCTCATACAAATCTTGATAATGATTGCAGAGGCCCCGGCCGTTAATTCCACGTCACCATTTTCTCTTGACATAACTTAATGACTGTCCTGTCACAGGTATTCTCATTCAGGCTTCAGTGAAAACGGCATAAGCGTTTCATAGAGTTCTAAGACGATACAAAAATTAAAAACTCACTCTATTTAGCTATTTTCTCACTTGCGTGCAATTCCGAGCTAGTACCACTGACATCTGTAGACAGGTCATGCAGACATGTAATAGAGTCGTGTAAACTAGGACTTTGGAAATGACTGTCCTGTCACAGGCATTATCATTCAGTCTTCAGTGAAAACGGCATAAGCGTTTCATAGAGTTCTAAGACGATACAAAAATTGAAAACTAAACCTATTTAGCTGCTTTCGCACTTGCGTGCAATTCAGCTAGTACCAAATCTGTAGACAGGTCATGCAGACATATGATAAGGTTAAGAAAAGAGTCGTGTAAACTAGGACTTTGGAAACCGTCCAAGATAATTTAAACCAATTTTGTAACTGCCCCGGGGGAGCTTCGATATAAAAAGGACGGGGTTGTTTGTCGGAAATTTTGAAATAACGGCTGAACTACGACTATTTTTATAGTTATGTATTACCTGTTTGTCCTGAATACGTTCCGTTATTATGACAGAGAGCAAAACTAAGACTGTATTTTTTTCTCTGTAATGAAAACCGTTGCAAAGGCAAATAATTGATGAGCGGCCGAATCTTTCATATCACTTTAAAGATTTCAATACGACCGAATCACGGCATCTTACATCAATGGTGATTTAAATTTTCACTGTGTTTTTGCTCAAAAAAAAATGGCAATAAAGGTTTAACTACCTTTGCTAAAAAAGGTAGCGTGACGCGTGCGCATTGATCGTGACACTTGCCACGGAAAAATGGATGCAGATCTGCGACTACGTTGTAAACATGTTAGCAGCATCGTCTGTTTTAAAACTGAGGGAGCTTGTCAAATTTCTTTTATGTCTCGGCATTCATGGGGAAGCACTGAAACATCAAATGCGCTCTCATGGAAACTTCAATGGCAAGCCTGTAGTTTATCCAGAACTGCTTGTCTTAGAGCTGTTTTCGAAAGTAGTTAGCACTTGTTTCTACGCTGCGCAATTAGTTTAAAAACCTCGCGCCCCTTTTCATACTATCAGAAGTAAAACCAAAACCAATTGTGAGGGCGGCACTGATGCTTGCAAAAGGTTCCCGCGCTTCATGTCGGCTACATGTGTTTGATTAACTGTTTCGATTGGTCCATTTAATTATCTATGTTTTATTGTGATTAATGGCCAGAGCAATTACTTTCGTTTTCGGCGGTTTCCCGTTACCCAGTGTCAAACCACTCTAATGTAAAACCTGGAGTGCTTTCATTGAGCCAAAATTCCGGAAATGGAAGTCAAAACGAAAGGTCTGTTTCGGGTCGATCGGTCGGACCTAAATATTCGGGACCACCTCTGGTGGGGTGCACTTTGATCATTCAGACCAGTTTGTCGGACATTTGTCGTGCCTTTAAGGGGTTAAAAAAGCGGGTTTGCTACCTCTTAGCGTATTCGGCCTCAAGAGCTATCGCAGAACCTTTTAGGTCCTTTTAGGGTATTGAGCCAGAAAAAGAGTCGAAAAAGCAAGTGTCAGTTATTGTCTTGTTTTGATATTTTAACCTCGTAGGGGTGGAAAAAAATTCAAGCCACACCCACAAAACAGGATCTTTGTAACTCTTAGGGGCTTTGTCAAAACTTCCGACGAGCTCTCCGTCCTTTTAATTTTATATTGGAGTCCCCCCGGGAAAGGGGCTTAGTGCCACTGGACTCCAATCATGATCAACAGCATCTCAACTGGGCCAGACAGTGTGATAATGTGGAGACTGGGACAAGGGAACTGGTTTCTCTCTTAGAACTCAGTTTTGGTAACCAAGAGCAGCGCCCGGAGTTGGGGCGAAATGGATTAATCCGGGTGACAGAGCGACGGCGCCCGTATCCTGGTCGAATTAGAATTTGGAGATGATAGTTTTCTGGAGGGAAAAAAAACCGGAGAACCCGGAGAAAAACCCTCGGAGCAAGGCGAGAACCAACAACAAACTCAACCCATATATGACACCGGGCCGGAATCGAACCCGGGC